CTCATGATTGCAAATGTATTGTATTTCTTGACTCTTAGGCATGCTCCATTATTAGACCAGTAACTTAAGATATCAGCATCTAGCAAATCAAGATTGAAAAAGACAATACAAGCTAAGTTGACCTTGTTAGATTATTTCATTTATAAAAGCTGATAAGGGCCCAGGATTTAGCTCAGTGGTTCTGCCTGCCTCACAAGCAGAAGGTTGCAACTTCAATCCTGGGTATCAAAAAAAAAAAAAAAAGAGCTGATATACTTGGCTCTCAGCTGAAGTTTGGTTGATGATCCTGGTTTGTGGCCTGCACATACTGCAATCACTTGTATGATGTCAATGTCCTTATTTCTGTTAATTCTGTACAGTTGTGGCCACCTTGATGAAATGAGTGATGCTCTGGCGGATTATTCACCTCTGCCAAAATATGGTGCTATAGTTTGTCACTCTATTTTTAAAATGATCAACTTTGTGTCATTTGGCTTGCCTTCTGCATTAAGATTGGCCATTCTAAGTAAATAAGACATAATTTTTGCTGAGTTATGTTTTTTGTTTGTTTTTGAGACAGGGTCTTGCTATGTAGTCCAGGCTGGCCTTGAATTTGCTATGTAGCTGACTCAGGCCTGAAACTCGTGATACTTCTGCCTCAGCCTCCTGAGTGCTGAGGTGACAAGGTGTGTACCACCACACTCAGCTACTGGGCTGTTTTAAAGCAGATAGAAAGTTAAAGTTGTAGTAAATGGAAAGAGTGCAGACTTTGGAATTATTGATCTTTTCCAAAGTCACAGGGTGAAAAAGAGGCAAAAACAGGACCCAACTCAGTGTGATCTCAAGGTCTCTGTTCTTAACCTACTATGCTATATTGTTTTTTCCTTTAAAATTAGCAGACTTCTTTGGTTGTATGGTCATTATTCAAGTAGAAATGCTATCATATTTGTCATATGAATTTCAAGCACTAATGTTTCTAATATCTTTTTAAATTTTGTTTTTAGTTAGAAATGCCTTTTAAACAGTATCCAAAAACATGGTGGAATTGTTTTTTAATTACGACAACAAATATCCATTAGTTCTGCTTCAGTTAGTACTGTTAAACATCATCTATCTTTCTCATCCTTTCTTCACCATCATCAAATCTAACCTAGTATTTTCCTTTACTTTTATTTTTTTGGTACTGGGGATAGAACTCGGGACCTTGTGCTTTCGAGGCAGGCAGAGGAACCACTGAGCTAAATCTCTGGCCCTAGTATTTTCCTTTAGTGATTCCCTTTTTTTTCCTCATAAAAGAAATCATTGTATAATGAATTTCTGAAGTCTTTTCACATACACATTCTCCCATGAACTTCATTCAAACCTTATGACTAGCAGTGGACAGAAATTATTACACAAAATAAAAAGCTCAAAAAAATGATTTACCCAAGGTGACAGAGCTGGTAAGTGGCAGACAGAACTGAAAATCAGACACTGGTACAAGTCCAGTAGTCTTCAGACAATGGGTTGAGTTCAAAACTACTTGATTTAGACTGGTATAGACCTACTGGGGTTTGTTGACAAGGACTTGCTATGTTATCCAGGCTGGCCTTTGAACTTGTGATCCTTTTGCCTCAGCCTCAGTTTCAGGAGTAACTGGAATTACAGGTACGCACCATCAAGCCCAGCCCTACTGTTGTTTTATCACTGACAGATCATTCCAGAGCTACTCTGATCAAGCTCTTCTTTTTCTGTTTTGTTCACATTAACATGAGATACCTGCCATGCATCTTACTGAACATATCAGCTCAAAGATGTTCTTCTTGATCCCATTGTAGTCTAATACTAGCTTTTACTAAATCTTAATACCATTGCTATACTCAATATTAGACATTCACTTTTTAGGATTCTATGAGCAACCTATTCTTAAATAAAATTAACCAACTTACATTCAGCTTGTCCAGATTTTCTTGTGTAGATCCCACAGTTTGTAGAAATTATATGTGTATATGGAGTTGGAGAATCAAGAGTGTCCCTTACCTCAATGAAGCGGGGCTAGCAACCACTTTACAAGTTAATTGCATTATTGCAACAAATACCCATTTGCAAGACAGTTGAAGTAGATCAAGCCTAATGTAAAGCAAACCCCTCCACTCCAAATCAAAGAGGGGCTGCTTTATTGAAAGTATGGACAAATAGCAAAACAGTATCTACTCAAATAATAAAGTATGATTTAGTGTAAATAATTTAAAAGCCACACTGTATCATCAAATCCCACAGTATGTACAGGCTGACATCAGTAAAAAACAACTACTTGTGAAAAAAATAGGCTTTAATACTTAAGATCTTTTTCAATTTTTCATTTAATCAAATTTATTCAAATTTAGTTTTGACCTAAAAATATCAAACAACTAATCAAGTCTTCCAACAAACACATATTCTGGGGATCAGTCTTAATTTTATTGTCTGAAAAAAAGGTGCAATTTTAATTTTTAACAGTAATAGGGTCTGTTTCCTCAGAGTAATACTCTTATCTTGCCACAAATGTCATACTGTATTTTTCAACTATCCAAAGGAGTCACATTATGTGGTAAGCTGAGAGCTTCGTGTTCCCAGATAATGTTTCATACAAGGAAAAATCTAAAATGAGTATTATCTTTCCTTTACTTTTTGTAGGAACGGGTGCCACTGAGCTGGCCCCTTTATTTCTTTTCCTTGCATTCAATCATAACTGTCATCAAATCAAATACAAAGAGTGAAAGGTTATGATGAAGGAAAGTGGAAAGTGGTACAGTGAAAGAATTTAGCAACTAAGTAAGTCTAGAATGTGCATGGAGTTTTTCAGGTAAGAATCATTAAGTAATTTGGAAACCTTTTTTTTTTAAAACAATTATATGACAATTGTTTTACACCACTCTTTGTCACATATTATAGTCTTAAAGGTCAAAAAAAAAAAAAAAGGTCAGCAATAAGAAAATCTCTTCCTGAAAAGAAGGATTATCCTATATTAACTAAGGAAGTTACACCTATGGAGAAAATTCCATATTTTAAGAGGGAAACGTGGTTAGGATTTGCCTTGATAGAAAATGCATTCTTTGTACTTCTGTAACATCTATGGTTTGGCAATTTAAGTCACTGGCATCATTCAAAAGTTTAGAGATAAAAAAAAATCAGGCTACAGTTTTAAAACTGAACATTAACATCTGTTAGTAAATTCCAGCTGGCCTTCTATCAGATACTAAAATATTTAGGCGTCAGTAAGGAAAATCTAAGATGCCTCCCAAAAGGAGGATACTGGAAGTCCTACAGATCATCCTCGACAGTAAGTTTTCAAACTATAAAAAATGCTTATGAATAAATGATGAATGGGGCAAAAGATTCCTTTATGTTGTTAAAAATGACTATAGCAAGGTTAAAAAAAAACACAACTAAGTTCCTGTCTAATGCAGCAAAAAAATCTGCATGCTGGTAGGATCACGAGACTGACTACAGGCAGAAGCTGCCTGACCTGTGCCTCAGCTTTGCTGTAACTTTGGACACTACTAATATTAAGGCACTGAAACAGAATTATATTAATTTTATTTAAACAGAACAACTTAAGTGCAGAAATCCCATTTTCTGAGTGAGAAAGTCATGCCCTAAACAACAGGTCTTAAGTGCATCTGACTTTTATTCAGAGAGTAGCAACATTTCCAATTTTCTCTCTCTTGACTTTGATTCAAAAAATTAGAGGGCAATTTGAGAAACATTTCCTGGTAGTGTTAATCAGATTAGAAAAAAAGAGAAAATGCTTACAGCAATAAGTCAGTTTACAAGGGAGCCTTCTGGAGTGTCGCAATAGGCAGTAAACTGGAAACTCTTGATATTTTATAGATACTGAACAAACACCAACAGAGGAGCCAGGAGCAAGTGCAACACCAGCCAAAGAATGGAAGCAGGCAGAGAAACAGCCACTGCAGGATCCTTTTGCTTTCACCATAAAAAGTAACCCCATCCCCAATTCTCTCCCTAAAGCGCTCTGATATTCAGTACCCGCCCAGAAATACCCTCTCACAATCCCAACAATCCCGCAGGAGCGAGACAGGCTGCGTCCACTTACTGAGCTGTCCCCCGCCCGAGGTTGTACTCGGTTCCCGACCTCCAGCACCTCCAAAGCCGGCAGCTCCAAGGATCCCAGGCGCCCCCATCCCCGGCGGTGTTCCACTCTGCCTCTCGAAGTTGCCGGGATTAGAGAAGTAGTCGCGCAGTCGAGGCAGCTCGCGGCCGCTCTCTAACAGCTCTGTGTGCAGCTCCAGGGCAGTCAGCAAATATTGATCGCGCAATAGCTGAGCCGCGATTGCATCAACTGACAAGCGGGCTGGGGTCTCCCCTGTACCCCCCAGGGCCATCGCAGCCGCGGACGCCTCCCCAGAGAGCCCTGGACGTGCACAGCTCCCCAAGGCCACCGGATCCTGCGGCGAAAGTGAGCCTGCAGAGCCAGGATCTAGACCACTGCTGGCACCAAGCCGAAGTCCTGCCCGCCGCTCCTCGGTCGCTGCTACCTCGTCGTCGTCCTCTTCCGAATCGCTGAGGAATGGATTCACGCCGCCGCTACCACTGCCACCACCTCCAGGCGCCATTGCCGCCATCTTATTCTGTCAGGAGTGTGGGCGCCTCCCTGACTGTGTCCAACAGGCCGCAGCCTGAACCTCCCCTGAGCTGCAGCAGGCACTGAGCGCCTGCACAACCCCGGCCTGACCACTTCCTGCCTCCTGTCTTAGAGGTCAGTGGTAGGCTCGCAAATACGGTATTCCAAGGCAGCACCACCCACTCAATCAACCGCCGCTGCACCCACAGCCGGCTCTGCAGGCGTCTTCCTGGTCTCCACTCTCGCGATAACTGCTTGTGTCCTGCCTTCGCCCCGCCCCAGAACGCCTCAGCCCCTCCCTTTCTCAGTGCCAGAGCCCAGCGATTGAGGGACTCGGTCCTGGGCTCGTACGCAAAACTCCGCCCACAACTCTTCCAGGATTGGCTGGAGTTACGGGGGACAGGCCCTAAAGTTATCGCGAGAGCAGCCGTGGCCCGGGAAGTGTTAGGAGCCTTAGGAGTTTGAGGGGTGGATGTGCAGATGCATTAGCGATACCCTGTGGGCTATCGTTTGAGGGGACCGAGGTTCAGATTGCCCGAGAGTTTTAATGGCGCTAGGTCCTGCCTTCGCTCTGAGGAGGTCTCATTCCCGAGATCAGGTCTGACCCGGATAAGCCTCAGGTAAAGTCCAGGGACTGGGGCGCTGAGGTGCGGCGGCACCGAAACGGTGGCCTCACGTCTGCGGACGTGCTGCTTCTCTTAATACGCTTCGCCTTTTGTCGCCGTTACTGGTTAGTCGGTGACATTTTCTTCGCACCGATAGTAATTGCCCAGGGCAGTAGTCAGAATTCGGCTTCTTCCTTACCCAGCCGCGCGCTTGCTCACCGTGGAGGCCTAGCGACAGCACCAACTTGCGGTTCGAGGGAGCGGCGCCTTCCCACCCTGGACTTAGTCCAGCAAAGGTGTGGGGTCCGGGGTGGAGAGACTGAACAGAAAATGGGACGGGGGATCTGTGGACAGCTTGACTCGGACAACAAGCTTTTAGGTGCTCAATAAACACTTAGGCTTTCTTAAAAATTTGCACAAGAAGGACTCTTCGAAATAGCAAGTCGTCTTTCACCAGTAGAAAAATAAGTAAACTTAAGCCTAGAGAGTTTAATGACCTGGCCACTAATAAACATTCGAACTCCACTTTCTCAAGTACTCACAGGAACTAACATAATTTGTCTCAAGTCCAAAGCCATTCTTTTCCCACAATGCCTTGTTCATGTGGTCCAGAATCAAGGTTTTGATTGTAGAACTTACCGACTTTAAAAGTTGTATATTTGAGAGTTTATGAAGCGTTAGCACACAAGGCAGCTATGCTCCTAAGTTTGGAAGATCAACATTTATCTTTTATATGAGCCTTTGATTACAGACGATGGCAGTAAAAAAATTTTTTCAGTCATCAGTTTTAGACTATTCCTGACAGCTTCCACTTTATACAAAACTTGCCACTTTGGTAGGTTTTAGATTTCCTTCCTTACTGTACAGCTTCCAGTAGGCACCAAAATAAATAGTAATTTTGACCATCATGTAAGTTACATACTACATTGAAGTAGCACGGTACCTTCTTTGGAGCTGAGGAAAAATAAAAATGGAGCATGTATAACCTTAGGTCAGGTTATTGAATTACATGTAAAAGTATGCCAACAGTTAAGTGTAGGTTTTATGTTTACCCAGGCTCAGTAAACAAAAATTTACATTTGAGGATTTGGGGATTCCTTTTGTTTGTTTGGTTTTTACTAGAAAGGCTTTTTTTTTTTTTTTTTAACAATGTTAGTACTAAGAACTGTAAGTATTTTTTAGTAAAACTGATGTTCTAATGCTAAATATTTTTCTCTGCCATATATTGAAGAAAAACGCGGGGAAAAAATCCGTAGTATTAGGAAAATACAGTAGTATCAAAATGGCCAATACTGTATCCTGTTACAGATTTCTTAGCAAAAGAAATTGCTGGTCCTAATTTTAATTGAGTTTACCAGAGAGATTAAAAATTGAAACAATTTCTGGAACACAGGAAGTAAAGATTATTGAATGGCATAGAAAGGACATGATTAGAAATGTAAATTTCATCTCTGTAAGGAGAATTTTAGAAATCTCCTACATGTTGGGTTCTTAAAGAGAAAATTGTGTTGATCAGACTGAAGAGCCTAAGTTCAAACCCCAGTTATATGCATTTTCTATTGTGAAACCTTGAGAAAATTGAAACCTAGCTTCTTGGAACCTCAGTTGCTTTTTATCTGTCAAAATTGTGAATGTTCTTGTCACAATGCATGGTAGCTAGAATGTGATAAATGATGTTACTAATGAAATATTACTATAACAGGGAAAATTTGACAGGTTTTTAAAAACATACTGTTTTAGCACTTGAACCCTGGAAAGGCAGTAAAGTCAGTAAGGCTAAAAGAATAGCTTTAATAGCTTTAATTTAGGGTCCTAGTTCTAGAGTGCAAGTTGAAAACAGATTTAATGTATTTCCTCAGAGTTGTAACAAGTTGGATTTAGAAGTTCCTTCATGACTTATTTCCTATACAAACCTGTAGTTTCCTGCTAATTCCTATTCTATAGCTATGTACTTGTTTATATGACATTACAAACCCATAACAAATCAACTGGCCAATCCTCACAGTAGGTACTTTTTCCCCTACCATATGTAGGGTTTTAGTTATCAACTTAAAATGTATAAGAAATAGCACACTATGGGCTGGGGATTTAGCTCAGTGGGTCCGCCACCTGCCTCGCAAGCAGAAGGACCTGAGTTTGATCCCTGGTACCAAAAAAAAAAAAAA